GAGTCTGATGTGTTTGTTTTTTGTCGCACTGGAAATAGTAAATCCTTATGTTATTATGGTTTACCGGTCTTTCGACCATCGAGCGTGGTAATAGTGTTGTCGCCACTGCTGAGTATTATAGAAGAATAGGTGTTATATTTCAAAGCTCATGATGTCACTGCAACATATATTGGCAGAAATGACGCCAAAGACATCGGAAACGCAAAGCTCCAAGCGCTTACTGGCAGTCATTGTAACAAAGCTTTCTATTGGTCGGTAAACTTTTTATCGCGCAACCACGTGACATACACGGTTATGAATAGAATTACCGCACGGTGTTGTAGAGGGAGGAATGTCCGAACGGAGCAACACCGTGCAGGCGGACGATGACCTTTTATAACCTCAGCGAAGAGCCGGTGAAAATTCGAGAAAACACAGGAACTCAACTTTGAAGTAATCCCGAACAATCAAATTTATATACGTTACACACGCAGGGGGTAATCTTGTTACACTGTTCAGGAGAGTCTCAACAACTATCCCGAAGTACCGTTTTCAGAGAGTTTTCGGCCTTTGTTTTCACCGTAATGGTTGCCATGCGGTGAAAATGCCCGGATGTCCACCCCCGAGAATAGAAATCACTCCGAGACACGTTCGCACAATCATGTAATTCCAAGATAAAATGATAAAACAGATTATTATAAAATTGCAAATGCTCAAGTTTATTACTTAAAGTACATCGTCAAAAAATAGAAAAGGTTTATACAAATAACAGAAAAAATATACACATGAATCGACATTATAAATATCGCGGATTAATACATTAACATTTGTTAAGAGTGGTAAACTTGAACATGGTGGTTTGAAATTTTCAAGTTGTCGTTTTTGAGGATTTTAGTCTGGTTTTGGAGAAATATAATTGCAAGTATACACATATACAGAACCTCCGAAATTGCAGTTTTGAACAGGTTTTCTGTGGCGACTGAGCTTGAGCATACCGTTTCACTTGTGGATACATTCTCTGACACTACTTGAGCCATGCCCGATGTTAACGGCCGAACGACATTGGAACTGGGGGCCATCGGAAGGTCATTTTTACCACGCTCATCGACGGTAGGAACACTAACTTTTGACATTAAAATGTCACTATATTGACGTTTTTGTTCACTAGAACTGTCGCTACAGTAACTCCTGATACACTATTAATTCCGTTGGCCACTTAAAATAATTATTATCCGTGTTGGTATTCCAGCGTCGTGCTGTATTCTTTCCCGTCTCTAGCCCTGATATTTCAATATTTTTGTCAGCTTTTGCACTTCCACAATTTCGAAGGCTGGGTCAATTTTCCGTTCAGAACACCACACTATACAAAAAAAAACCACATGATTTTAGTACGGAAATAGGGTCATCATGGGGTCAAACGTTCAACCCATTGTTTACAAACAACGACAATGGCGGCGTTCGCCGGTGCAATCTATAATTACGATAAGTTTTTTTTTTTTTAATTTTGACATTTATCACACTTACATTTGAGTAATTACACACCCCATTTTGTGGAGGCGTTAGTGTTCACCTCATTTTTCTTTGCTGCCAAGTTTTCGACCATTTTTTCAGAAAATTCAGGGAATTTTTGCCCTTCGGCAGATACCGGCATCTGTTGATCTGGCTCGTTATTACCGCCGGCGTTCTGTTGCTCCCATTCAATTGTAGCTTGAAGAAGTTCTTAATCAGTAGCGTCAATTTCATCCAGCTGGTCCCATTTGAAATTGAGATCAAAATTGATCTGAGGCTTGTCGTCTGACACAATTACTATGTGCTGAAGATTCCGCTAGTGACTTGCAGACGACAATATTTATCATATTTCAATCCAGTTTATTCCAGTTTTTGTTTTATTAATTATTCATGAAACAGAGCCCGAGTCATGTATTGCCAGATATAAACTCTGGCTTCAGTCAATCAAATGGCTAGATTCACACTGGTCATTTTATAATAGCCGCTTATTATGCCCGGATGTGTTGGGGATATCCCTTGTCTGAAGCTATTCCAGACGCACAATACAAACGATGGGACTTGTCATATAAACTTCTATAAAACATTTGGAAAATGGAAAATATAATAAAATAATTCAAAATTGTAATGAGTACAAAAAGTTTAGCTATTCCAGCAGCAAATTATATGAAAAAACAGCTTTAGTATCAGACAGCCACTTCACAATTGATTTTTCACTTTCTAATTTAATATCACCTTATGACTAATTTTACACGTTTTTATCATGTCTGCTGTTATTTCCCAAGCCTCTTGCATCTTGTTTAATTTCTGACGTTTTATTCATGTAAACAAATATAATGAGAAACAAGTTAGGAACAGTCGAAGTAATGACCGTTGGTGCTTTGTTACAGTTAGCGACGCATTTTGATTCAGGCATGCTGGTCGAAAGTGTTATTGTGGGTTCCGAATCATGCCCCGTTGATAGTTAGAAAAAAACTGAATCGCTATTGACAAATAACATTTTTGCGCGATTCACGGTCTGCATATGACGAATTTTTCTTCTGTGCCGCCATTTTTCGGAGCACTCAATATTTGTTTCAATTTGTCTACAGAGGGCGCATTCGATGAAGGTGCTTCGATTCCTCCAAATGCGAAGGCGTCAAATGGAATGGCTTCAAATGACTGACCACAGAATGCGATGACGTCAAATGGCATAACGCATTGTGAAATTGCAAAACAAATGCTCAAATCTCGTATTGTTGAATGTCATGACGCATTGTGGAATTGCAATACAAATGCTCGAATCCCGTATTGTGAATTTGCAATACAAATACTCGAATCTCGCATTGTGGAATTGCAATGCAAATACTCGAATCTCGCATTGTGGAATGGCATAACGCATTGTGGACATGCACTATAAATACTCAAATCTCGCATCATAGCATGGCAGGTTGATGCGTCAAATGGCATGACATACCATTGCATGGCATATTCTAATTTTGGCAGGAATACGGTGCCATAAACAACTATTTCGTTAGAAGTTACCTGTGATAATAACATACTCACATCAGTCCCCTCAAGACATTGCTTTCCAGACAAAATAGACCATTTTGCAATCCCTAGTAAATATATATATCCACAATTTTCCAAAGCCAGTGATCCATCAGTTATGATCCAAGCATCTGTACAATAAACACAATATTGAAGACGACATATCGAGTGTAATTGCAACACAAAAATACTTCAAACAAAAGTGTGAACATTTTATTGTCAATTAGTTTCACAGTCACGTTGACGTATTATAAGACATCTGGAGAAAATTTGGCTGAAATATGTTAACAATAAGTTCTATTTTTTCAGAACATTCCCCAAATACACATTTGCCGGAAAAATTGAAATCATATTTCTTGTTCAAAGAATTAGAGTGATTATAAAACCAAGTATAACAATGTGGCACAGTTAAATAAAAAAACACATTAACTCACGATTTTCTCTTGCTGTCTCAACTAACGCTTTCAGCAATGTTGTGTTTTTAGAATCTAATTCTCCAGATATCGAAATAAGCAATTTGGGGGTGTCCATTTGCCATATTTCAGTCATTAGCTTCCACATAAGTTCATCTTTAGTTCCACTGTGAACACGAATATACTACAGCAAAAAACATTCATTAAAAACAGATTCATTAAAATTTATATTGGAGTTGAATGTTTACGGTATACGGTGCTCATGCAAACTGAATGTGCATCATGTGACTAAATATTTTGAATCCAATGGCTATTCATATCATATTTCATCCAACTAAGAACTCTAAACGTAACACTGACACGTAATCTAGATTTCAAAGTAATAGTAAATATTGCCCATAGATTTGTCACAAATAATAGATGTTGAATTAAAAGAGGACAGTAGAATGATTCGAATGCATTCTACAAAATGCTCGATTCATCCTGGCTAAGAATTTGGTGGACACGACTGAACATTCGTGTTCAATTCAGCAACCCTCGTCTAGTCGTGGCTATACAACTTTGTATTTTTTATTATATTTGCGTCCCCCCTCTCATGACAAATGACATACTTTTGATGTATTCAAATATCTAAAAAGAATATCATGTTTTAACATACAAAACACATGCGTATTGTACTCACCAACGAATTTGTTCTGTCTTCATCAAATTCAATTTCTCCATATGATTTTGTCACTTTTGTCTTGTTCTGCCTGATTTGATTTTCTTTTATAAATTCAGTAAATAATTCTTGGGTCTGTTGAAATGAAAAAAAAATAACCAGAAACTTCTTGAATTTGAAATGCGACAGCTCCTTTGTACATTTAAACGTCACCCAAAAAACATTTTACTTACATCATTCTGCCATATATAATACAAATGATTGTCATCGGTTTCATCATCTGACCTCTCATATCTATATTGTCGATACAAAATTGGGTTATTAGTTAGTGTCCTAAAATCGCACTGACAAGGGAAGCATTGTAGTTACAGACGATGTAACTTATTATTTGGCGTTACAATTACAGGAGTGTGTAGAATTGATGTGATATTTACCCAACTTTTTCACTGAGTATGTTTATGTCGATATTTTACATGCTATTTTTATTGTGAACTACTGTATTGTAGCTGGATTTAAAATGCATTATGGGTGTTTTGTTTATTATTTTTATATTTTATATGTACAGAAATATTGTCTATACATTTCTATAAATGCTCTACCGAGTATTGTCACTTTTCGTGCACAAATGTATCAACACAGTGAACTATTGTTTTTTGTCATCCTGATTTTTTTATATGGAAACAATTTTCCAAATCCAAATAAATAAATAAATAAATAAATAAATAAATAAATAAATAAATAAATAAATAAATAAATAAATAAATAAATAAATAAATAAATAAATAAATAAGTATAAAAAGAATACTTACTGAGATTCCTCGTCATTCTCGTCTTCTGAAGACTCTTCGACCGGTGTGGCTACAGATCCTGCTGAGTCCTCGTCTTCGTTTTCCATTTCTGTATCCTGCCCGGGTGTAACTTTATTTGTGTGCAGCTGCAGCATTTCGTATGCTTTTGCAACTAACAAATAATAGTATGGAAACGATGTGTTGTAGTACAAGACGAAGTAAATATTTGTAGAAAATAAAAATGTAATAACAACTAGTCCCTGTTAAGTATTAGCTGTATTAAAGTTAACACAGATTATAGATTGTGTTACATAGAAACTTTGAACTGAATTTGACTATATCTTACAGAATAAATAGCATGAAAGAAAAACGCAGCCATTCGGGTATTGTTGTTCAAATATCCCCAAAAGAAACGTGGCTTGCACCGTAACCATAATATGTGAGATAAAAATACCCTATTCAACTTTGAAATAAATCAGGCCATATCGCACTGTTCAGCTCCAAGAACGGTTTCGGACATGATACAGAATGATACTTTACGTTTTTTTTAACAAAATGGCCACCATTTTGACAAATTTGATTAAATTTCAAGACAAAACATTGTTGTTATGTTACCTTGGAGTATACTACCTATGTACAAACTTTCAAGTGAATCAAGCCATATCTTTCAGAGAAATTGGCAGAAAAGGAAAACAAAAAAAAATGGACGCCAGTTGGCCATTTTGGTCCAAATTGACGTGCACCTATGACCCAATATGCATGATCATCATACGATAATTTATTGAAATCGCCCTGTTCATCCCTGAGAAACAGTTCCGGACACGTTAAAAACTGTGATCTTAAGATAATAAACAAAATGACCGTCATTTCGACAAATTTGATCAAATCTCAAATCAAAACATCGTCTTTGTGTTATCTTGAAGTATAGTACCTATATACAAACTTTGAACTAAATATGACCGTATCTTATGGAGGAATCAGCACAAAAACGAAAAAACAACAACAAAATGACCGCCAGTCGGCCATCTTGGACCGAATCTCGAAAAAAAGTGATGTGCACCTATAACCCAATATGCATGATCACCATACACAGTTTGATTGAAATCACCCTGTTCAGCCCCGAAAAACACTTTCAGACACGTTTAAATATCAGAATTTAGCACATTTGAGGGACAAAATGGCTGCCAGTCAGGCATATTTAATCAAATCATAACGAAAATTGGCGTGCATATGTCATCATACATTGTGTGTATGGCAAGTTTGAACGGGATCAGTCAAAGGGTGTCCGAGAATTGGCTCCGGACGTACACACAGGCGCACGGACACACGGACGCACGGAACCCAAATCTGAACGGGGACTAATAAAATATCAAGCATAAATGTTAACAAATTCGAATTCACGACAAGCTCTAATTATGGACGAGAATACAATAGTCTATTTTTTTCGGATTGGTGTAATTTGATTACGTTCCGCTTATAAACCATTCATCTATTAATTAATTAATAGATTACTACGGTGGATAAAAACGTGAATTTCTTGCATTTTAGATTTAGATTAAAAATTACAGTAATATTTGAATTCCTTCTATGTCTGGTTAGTGGTAATCAAACAACTTTCACAGTAATCATGTGAACTGCTGAAACCTTTTTACACTCGAAGCAGTATAAAGCGCTAGTCCCAAATACATCTCTCCGATGTGTTGACTCACTGGAATAATGCCAAGACGACGATGAAAGCGTTACGTGTTGGGTGACTTTAGTCCATGGCAAAATACATAATAGAAAGCATTCACGAATGGTGTATTACAATGGGTGATTGTGTGTCCAAGGTGTAGTTACAAATTCCACGAACTCAAGCACGTTGTCATGAAAACGACGCAATAACAAAGAAAATACACAACAGCGGAGAATGTGATACTGGATGCCATTGTACATGATATGTATTATGCGCTAATGTACAAGTAGACTACCAAATTCGATGAACCAAATTCATTAAGAATTATAACCAGTTTAAATATAGTACTACTGCAAAGTGACTGCTTTCTGTTTCTGACACGTTTCGTTTTTTGCAGTAGAGATCGAGTTGACGATACTGTAATATATATGATAGTATCACTGAATTTCAACTTTCATAAAATTTACAAGATCGAGAAACATACATATCAGTTATTTGATATATATCACCAATACAAACCAGCCTACCAACCATCAATGCAGAGAACACAAAACATATTAGATACACTCACCGATTTACAGCTGTTCCACCTAATTTGCAACGACTGACTAAACTGTGACTAAGCAGCTTACACACATCAACACAGACGCCTAATATATCACCTAAAATATCATCGCGATCGCATAAAAGCCAAACTTAACTAAGCAGTTCTTTATTGTGTTGTCTACTGTCTATTTTCGTCACCGTGAAAATCATAAGGCTTCGTATACTCAAGTAATAACTCCCCGCCGAAGGCAGGTATAAAACGAGATATTGCAAAATTCACAACATATATGCACGAGCCGCTATTTTGTCAGCAAGAATTCGAACGCCACTACGAGACTCCGGTTGTCATTGGTTGCATACATTTTTTTCTTTGCCTCGTAGTTTTTTTGTTTTTTGTTTTTGCATTTGTTCGTCATTCATTCCCTCAACTTCATCTACTTTGTCACCAGTTAAATATAAAGACCATGTTTTCTTTGTTTGAGGTTCGCAAACTATTTCGAAGCCACAACACGGGGAACACAGCATTCTATCGTTCGTTTAGGCACCGTCCATCACGGTGTTGAGGGACGTTGGTTTAGGTTTGTGGGGCGAACGACGATCAACCAACGACCGACGCTCATAACTTGGATTCTGACATTAACAAAAAGCAATATTATGGTTATATAATTTTTCAGATATTTTTAATTCGGTAATTATTCCAATATTTTTCTAAAATTCAACCACTATATTACCCTGAAAATAAAATACCGTATTAAACGTGTAGTAAATTAATGTTGCAGAACCACTTTGTTTAGCTGTACATTACCAGCACACAAAATTTGCATATGCAATTAATAGTATATTTAAGCAATAACCCCTCGAAGGCGGGTATCCCACGGGATATTGCACAACTCTTGACACATTTGCACGAGCCGCAGGCAATTTTGTGCAATATGCCCGAAAGCGGGTATACCACGTGACATTGAACGTTTCACGACATTATCAGCCAATATACCATTAATTGCATATGCAAATTTTGTGGAATAACACCAACAATATACTTGTATAATATAATATACAAATAATGTTCATTACAATTGCTCTTCGGTAAATACAATGAATAAAGTGAAATGAAATCTTGCAATGAAACCTTACGTTGTTCTATTAATTGCGCCATCTAGCAACAAACCGCATAAATAAGTGTTCATATATCGCATCACAACAAACGAATGATAAAATGAAATGTGAGAGAACACACACGCATACACACACACATATATATGTATATAGAAAGTTAGTCGATTATTCCAGGTGAAAGTGCTCGATACTAAACGATGAGTTTATAGAGCAGAGTTACTTACGTGGACTGAGAAATTAAGACACGACTACATGAGTAAAGTTTACTCTACAGTACTGTTTCGTAAGGTACATGTAGTACCTCACTCACCAGGAGTTAAGACTTTATTAAATAAACCACGAAAGCAGACTACGTTATAAGCGTTACAGATTTGCATAACAATGGAGTGTGTTTACGATATTTAAAACCAGTTGTTGCATAGCAACGATCTGGCTGTGTCCACAGAAGAAAAAAGCTCATATATATTCGAAATCACAAATATTAAGCAATGGCAGATGTTTTAGAAAAAATAAGCGCGATTATTTGAATGTTAGATGGATTGAAAAAAACGTAGCCGAGTGTAAGTTAACGGCACTATTGCAAATATATCCATAAAATTGATAGATATAATGCATAGCAAAATAAAATAAACACAATTTTTTGCGAAATGTTTTTATTTGTTTCCAGGAGGTTGTATTAAAAATTATTGGTAATTATGTCGAATCACAATCTCCCGTTTATTTTTAAACTGGGTGTGGCTCGTACGTAAAAATTCATCTAGTGCTTCTCGGTAAATCAAAATACACAAAACACATTATCAACACATCTTCTGCTTCAGGTCAAATTTCTTTTAAGTATGTTTTTGTATAAATCTTTGTTCTTGTACTTTTGAATTTTGATATCGTCACACTAAAAATAACACACTGTTTCACCATGCTGAATAAAGGACAACAACTGGGTTCGAACTCGAAGATCACATAAGGGTCTACCAGGGTTACACGGAATACTTTTATTTACTTTCTATGAGACAAAAACAAATTAAAACAACGCAATAAAAAATCTCCCTAATCTACAAGCATCCACACAAATTATCAATTATCACAACTAAAACTCATCACCAATCCCGATCACTTTAAGCGAAATACCTAATTTTATGTATTAGGTGTAAATACAATATTTATAATTATGAATGAACATAATTGTGACAAATATTGGTTATAATAAAATGTAACACTAATAAAAATAAATGCAAGCAATGACAGGCATAATGCATGCAATCAAAATAAAGTTATAAACCCTGAGAAAGACGATTACTGTCAAGTCAAATGTTCAACCCTCAAACATAAACTGGACAAAATAACGTGGATGTCATAAGATAACCTTATTACAAAATGCTGAGCTGTGTCTGAAATGGCGTCCAATGCGAATGCCGTCTACCACAAATGATTTGTACTTGCTGGTCATAGTAGTCAAATTAGGCTAGGAAATCATTATGTGAAGCACACGAAGTAGCAAATTCTGGTCCTATGTCACTGTATTTATAATTGTATACTGTAGGCATTATTTGCGCAGAACACATGAACTAACCTCGACAATGACATGCTTTGTTATAATTTTTACTAATGAATTTCAATTTATTATTCTGGTGCAAAACCAAAAAAGACTTATTTACATTAGAGAAAGAATCACTCCATAATGGGTTATGTAATTCAACTAGTCGAGATGGCATGGTAGCTCCATACAACTTGTCATTCATACCGTGATAGCATAACGAAATTGTCATTTAGAGTTTGACTTGCCTAACGTTGCACGCCCAAAGTGTACACACTCGGATTTTT